CTTGATCATTCTTGTTTCCAACAATACAACAGCTATGGCACAGATTGTAGCATCTGGATGAACAGCCTAGAGTAATATGATGAACTAAGGAGCAGCCAGACCCCAACTTGATCCTCTATATTCACTTGCAAAAATGTGGTCCTGCGTCTTAGCAAACTGCAATGGCTGCCTGGAATTCAAACAGCCCCTAACAAGTCCATCCAGAAGCATGGGACTGAGAGCGCTTTGTCTGAATGGAGACCCCCCCACTCAACACACAGAAACATCAAGCTGAGCTCTGCCGACAGGGCAGGCAAAAGCAGCCTTCTCTTAACTGTCCCACTTATTAGAAAGTCTTATATATGAATGTATCTTCAAGTTATCGTTTTAAAGAAAAGAGGAGCCAGGTGTGGTGGTGGCTCACACCTGTAATCCCCACACTTTGGGAGGCCTGGGTGGGTGGATCACCTAAGGTCAGGAGTTCGAGACCAGCCTGGCCAACATGGTGAAACCCAGTCTCTACTAAATATATAAAAAATTAGCCAGGCATGGTTGTGGGTGCCTGTAATCCTAGCTACTTGGGAGGCTGAGGCAAGATAATTGCTTGAGCCCAGGAGGCGGAGGTTGCAGTGAGCCGAGATTGCGCCACTGCCCTCCAGCCTGGGCAACACAGCAAGACTCTGTTTCAAAAAATAAAAGAAAAGAGGAAAAGATCTACTTACAATATTATAATTTGGATTCATTGTTATGAGGTTTTAAGAAGTGAGGCTAGTTAAGTTCGCACCAAGTCTGAGATTTGAGAATTCATTCTTGCACTGGGCTTAGGACATAATGGAAGCTGGACCCATTTCACACATTTAGCAAATGAAATCACCCAATCCTCTGTCACTAGGTCATCCAAGAAAATGTTCGTACTTACAGACATCGGCAGTGAGTGAGCAGAAAACAGAATGACCACCTCGCTTCTCTTCTCAAGTGGAAAATGGTCCAGTTCCTTTAGAATATGATCTGCAAAGCACTGAGGGAGTAATAAGAAAGGAGGATAAAGAGGAAGGGGAGAAAGAAATGGAAGGAAAAAGAAAATATTTTTAAAATGAAGCCTACACCAAAAATCTCAGAGCAACCCTCAAAAAATCAGAACTCTCTTTTTTAAAAAATTGCAAACAGTCCAGCCTCTCAGCATTGGTTTATCATCAAAATGGATCATAACGGTTTCAGGGGCCTAGGGAATTTGCTGGGAAACTTCTAAAGCTCGCTAATGGCTCACTGCAAATGCGGGCTGTGGATCTGCTTCCCCTCGGGAAGGACAGGGCACGCTTCCAGATGGAAAGGAAACACAGATGGGAAGGAGAAGTTGTTTTAAGACCTCTCATTTGCTCTGTTAGCAGGAAAACAGCTTACAGGGTCTTTCTAAAGCCTCCTTAGTTTGGCTTTCAGGCATACCACATTAAATACATTAGTCAGGAATAGTAGGGAAATAAGAAAATACTGTTCTATTTTTATAACATTTTCTTCCGAGCCTCGTATCCCCATCAAGTTAAGTTTTATAAAAACCTTCACAACAACAGATGATAGGTGATATCCAGCCATTAAATTCACAGAGTGAGGAAAGATGTGGTAAACTTAGGGGCTCATTCAGTCACATCTGTGGAACTTGGGAAAGAACATGGTTCCTGCCTCTCCCTCCAAACCTCTGTCTACCAGACCAGGGAGCTCCCTTCGTCTAGCCGGCACTTTGATTCACCTCGATAGGTGCTGAAATACCAGAACTGAAGGGGCTTTCTTTCATCTTATACTTTAATCATTCTCTGTCATTTAGCTTATAAAAAATGCTACAAAAGACACAAATGGGTCAACTGACAAAATCAGAATATGAATGTAGATTAAGTAAAAGTTTAAATATTGATGTTAAATTTACTGAAGTTGAATGTTGTACTGTGGTTATGTAAGAGAATATTCCTGATTTTAGAAAACACACATTTAAGTGTTTAGGTGTAGAGGATGATGATATATGCATAACTTATTCTCAAAAGGGTCAGAAAAAAATCATGTATATACAAACACAGAGACACACACATACATACACACACAGGGCATGTGAATGATAAAGCAAGTAGGAGATACATGTTAATAACATATCAATAGGCCAGACGCAGTGGCTCACGCCAGTAATCCCAGCACTTTAGGAAGCCAAGGCGGGAGGATTGCTGGAGCCCAGAAGTTCAAGACCAGCCTGGGCAACATGGAAAGACCTAATCTCCACAACATTTTTAAAAATTAGCAGGGCATAATGGCACATGCCTGTGGTCAGCTACTCAGGAGGCTGAGGCAGGAGGATCACTTGAGCCCCGGAGGTTAAGGCTGCAGTGAGCTATGATCCTTTCACTCAACTCCAGCCTGGGCAACAGAGTGAAACCCTGTCTCGAAATACTAATAACACAGTAACATAGGTAAAAGAGTAGATGAGAGTTCCTTATACTGTTCTTAATCTTGTAACTTTTCTGCATATCTCAAATTATTTCCCAATTGTCCTTTGCAACTTTTTAAAAACTATAAAGGACAATTGATCAGAAACATGTAAATCTGCACTTGTTGGTATTTTGATATATCAGTGGTCAGTGAAAACTATGGGATAAGCAAACTATTCCCTAATAAATATTGAGATATTATTAATCTTTCCAGAACTCTTGAAATTTGGCAAATAAATATCCTAAGGCATAAAATGGTACCTAAAGTTCAGTTCCCTTTTCAGAATTTATAATGCAAATTCTCAGTAAATGTGATAGGATTAGATACAAACAAAACCAGTATTTTCTGGTCTTTGCAGTGTTTGAAAACTAAGGATGCTCAGAAAGGATTATTTTTGGGCCTCAGCCTAGATAAGGAGGCCCACTGCAAGGTTTATACAGGAGTCTAGAACATAAATTTGCCCCAATTAATCCAACAGCTAGATAAATACCAATATTAGAGAAAACAGTAATAAAATGGCTATTTGGAGCAATCACTACCTATGCCAAGTAGAAATGTGGATTCGAAACAGAATTTGTAGTTTTAAACTATATTTTTTGTTTTAGTTTAGGGTTTTGTTTTCTGGTTTCCAAAAATGTCATATCATATCCAAAGCTTAGTGCTTTTCTTTTCTTGGCTCGCAAAGCTGCAAGTAAAAACACAAATCATACGGCCTGCAACAGCCTCTAAGCCGTCTTCAAAACTGAGGCGCCATGGGCAAGGAGAAGTGCTATTTAAATCACCTAAAACCCATCTGCGGTATTTTCCAGGCGCAACCTCTCTGCAGAATGAAAGAGGCACCGAGCCTCTCAGAGCCTTCAATCACACCATCTAGGAGGGCGGATAAATGCCTCTAAAATTCCCTTTCATTTTATGAACAGAGACTTCCTCAGTTAAGAGACCTTTCCATCGTTCTGCTTCCCCCCTTTTCAAAGGGCTGAATTTTAATGCAAATCTAATTACTCACTTGATCAGGGCAGGCAGATGCTGTGCAGATCCCTCCATTCCCTGCTACCACATGTCAATGCTGACCTGAAACCCCCCTCCTTTCCAATCGCAGGCCTCCCAGAGCAAAACCCAGGCCGCTGGTGCTTCAGGCAGTACTGGCTGGACCCAGCAACACAGCCATCAATGGTGCACACAGAGACCACAACTACACCCACCCCTAAGGGTAAGCGCCTTCACTTTTTACTTAAAATTGGATTTCAACCCAAGTGTTAACTCTTTATATGCCTAAGGAACACTGCTCTGGGGAGAGCTGGCCTGAGTTCAATGATGTCTAGCACCATCTAGTGGTCACAGATTTAAGCGATACCAGGCTTCTAAAGCTGTTAGCAGGGTTTTTTGCCAAGAGTCAGAAAAGGTTCAGGCAGTGAAAAATAAAATGGATAAAATCTAAATGACTTAATATTTCCCCTACCTAAAATAACTCAAAAGCAGAAACTTCTACTAGCAGAACAAAATTATATTTGCCTAATTTAGGGCAATATTTTACCAATTGCCCTCTCATTTTTGACAGGCAGAAAAGAGTATAGTAACATCAGTTCAAAGCTATTAACTTTAGAACTGTAATTTTAATTTAGTCTCCTAAAATCAAGCATCTGTTAATAAAAATATTATATATATATAAATTGTACAGAAGAAATATGAAATTTAATATGTAAAACTTTATTGGAACGTTCAATTTATTTTCATGTCTCAGAAAATGTAGATATATTACTTTTACATTTTTAAAATCTTTTGACATTTTAAAGGATTTAGAAAATAGAAAATTTAATTCGTTGGTCAGTCATTCAGCCTACAAATGCGAGTTAACTGAAACACCATGCACAATCTTTAATGCTCTTCGGGTCATAGGAAACACAAAACTCAAAATATTGTTCTGTTATGGTTTGGGACTAATAGCATTAATCTGAAGAAAGAAGACTCTAATCATTTTAATCTTGAAATGTATTTTCTCTTTTCATAATAAATCAAGAATATAATACTTTTATTTAATCCCTAACACACAATTTAAGCAAAGGAACAGTAAGGCTCAGAAGGACATCCACAAACCCAGAAGGGACAAGAAGCTGATACACACTAGATGCTGGGGTGACAGGCAGCTGGCAATTACTGGCTTACCTGGATGAGGAGGTGATGTGTGGGCCACCTGTCAATAGTGCTCCACTTCATCGTGGGCTTCCGTCCCACTTGATTATAGTACCTGTAAATGGCATTTAAGCTGCTGCCTGAAATATACAGAGGCCACTTAGTAGATGCATTTTGATTATGGTGAAAATAAAAACCGGACTCGTAAAGGTAGTATATATAAGTTCAAAGCAGGTAACTGCTTCTATACTGAATCAGTCTAATTACAATCATTTCAATACTCTAAAATGCATATAGATTTAACTACCCTGCAAATGAAGATCACTAAAAAGCAATCAATTTCAATGGACTTTCAAAGATTATTGATGTCAGTTCTAGTGAAAAACAAGATGACTGTAGAGTCATGAAATATAAGCAGTCATATTTGCAGGGACCAAGTCTTACAATTGAAAGTATGTTGGCCAGGCGCAGTGGCTCACGCCTGTAATCCCAGTACTTTGGGAGGCCGAGGCTGGTGGGTCACCTGAGGTCGGGAGTTTGACACCTGCCTGACTAACATGGAGAGAGCCTGTCTCTACTAAAAAATACAAAATTAGCCAAGTCTGATAGTACACTTGTAATCCCAGCTACTCGGGAGGCTGAGGTAGGAGAATCGCTTGAACCCAGGAGGCGGAGGTTGCAGTGAGCCAAGAT